TAGAGTATTCATAACAAGTCCAGAGCGTATGTTGAACAAAAGCCTAACTTATGCATAACGCATGGCAGCTTAATGCCCATGATATGTCACAAACCAGTGTCCTGAGGGGAGCAGCGATGCACCCGGAGGCGCCCAGATTGTGGTACTAACGTAGCTGCTTTTTACCGCCTGTCAAAAAAAAAAGAAAAAGAAAAGAAAAGAAAGAGAGAAACAAAGAAAGAAAGAAAAGAGAAAGGGTTTGCACCATTATACAGTGGCTGTGTGTTAGAAGCACTTTCAGCGGACGTCTGAAACACGTCAAATACGTCAATATGCGTTGGAGATAAGTTCTTGACAAGTTATGCTTAGGTTATGCACACGTTATTGGTTTTGGATAAGTTAGACACCACGACTTATGAGAAACTTACAATTAAAGGTATAGAGGACAAACTTTTATTTCTGGGTGGATCGTCTAAATAAGTGGTCCTCCTAATAGTAATTCATTCTGCTGATATGGTTACGTAAGGCCGGTCTGCGTGCTCATCCCGTTAGCTAAATATTTCTATGCATGCGCACTTTCAGGTGTATATCTGTGGTGAGCTATGGTTTCAGACAGTCATTGAAGCTCACCTTTTTCAAATGGCCAAGGGTCGTACTGTAAGAGAAAAACTGAAAAAGTGTTGAGGAGAAATCTCCTTGCAAAGCATTATAGGATTTGCTCTCACAACGGTCCGCTGTCGCCATAGGCTGTTGCTTCCCAACAGTGGCAACTAATAACAAAGATGGCAGAGGCACCGTGCAGTGGAGAAGGTGTGACTTGACCAATAGGGAGCAAAAATGAGTGATCACTGCTCAAACGGAAAGTTAACTGAATTCGCTATAAAGGCCACTATATAGTCCCTACTCTATACAGTGATTGCGGGATTTAGGGCTAAGGGCTGACGTTCGGGCACAGTAAGCTTGTATGAGAACAGCAACTTTTAAACAGAGCGTGGACGAGGCAAAATTGGCTCATGCATGCTCTCGCACACGTTTAATAGGCGTTCGCTCTCAGGCGAGGGTAAAGGGTTGTACATTTGCATTTTTTTAAAACTGGAGAAGGACTTTCTTTTTAAAAATTTGCGAAAGTCCTCCACAATACCTTTAACGTATGCCAACGATCAAATAACTTTCCTGTAACTTATGGCCCCATATGAGCATACGTCAAGAATCAAAATTTCTCTCCGTACTTGCCATATGTCGACGTGTGCCAGGGTGCTCATAACTTATACAAAACTGACTATACCATAACTAATCCAACGTATGCCAGCATTTTTGCCAGATTTTTCTTAAGTAAGTAAGGCAGAGGAGTGACTCCTTCTTACAGACAGCTTATCATCAGCGTGTTGCATCAGGTAGGGAGGGGCAAAGCTGCTTTACTGATTTACTCCATAATGATATTTTCTCTGGGTTTTCCTTTAAGGAATTCAAATACATGGCAGTAATATAATGGGCATAGTTTCAGACACCCAACCAACCCATAGCTGTTATATGCTGTATACTAAATAAGTTTTACATTTGTCAATTGTAGATATTTCTGTTTTCAGAAGGAAATCCCTCTAAAGTCAATAATAGCACCCTTTCCTACACCGATCACAGGAGAGTAGTAAGATCATGGCCTCTGCACTGAGTGTTTCAAAAAATAAACTGTAGACACTTAGCACTGTAATAGCTGTGAAAAGAAATAAAGGTTGCGGGGGCAGAGCCGGAGGTTGGGGGTGGGGGGGTTATATGGAGGTGGGCAGTGCACCTTGACAGGAAACACTGAGGTGAAAGGCAGGAGTTGGAGGTTAGCTTGACAGAGAGAGAAGAACTTGTGTTGGTGGTGAAGGAGGGGGGGTGAGGGGATGAGTTAGCTGGTGCGGAAGTGCCGAGCCCACTTTTAACTGAACAGAAATGAACATAGTGAGTGGAGGGATGAGATGAGGGGATGGGGGTACAGAGATA